CTTTAGCTCATTTTTTTTGTTTACAAAAATTATTAAAAAATCAATTAAAATAGCACACACTTGCCTTTTTTTTCCCATTTTTTTATTTTTGTTGTGCGTCTTTATCAGGGTGCTTTAAATATAAATAATTTTTAATAAGGCCGATATGGATTTACTGTAAAGCAGTGTGTAATTTACAGTAAAATACCAGTTTCTGTAGTTACCAGAGTCATTGTTGAAACACCGTACAGTTTCATTTTTTAAAACTATGCCGCGGCTTAGAATCTTTCTTTCTTTACGGTAAATTACGATATTAAAAGAAAACATTAACTCTGTTTATGGTAAATAACATTTAAACAACAGAAATATCACAAACCTAAAAACACACACAACAGAACTGTAAAACAAATGGCAGTATTTTAATTAAAAACTCGTGATATAAAGTAATTATTCGTCAGCTCCGGGTGCCAGGGTTTTATGGTAAAATGTTTGATACCGTACGGTAAAATATGTGGAATTTATGGTAAATTACCAGAACCTAAAAACCAACACACGTAATGTAACTGTAAAACAAAATACGGTACTTTATTAAAAACTTCAGATTTACAGTAATTATTTACAACCATAAGGTAAAAGTTGTGGATTTTTACAGTAAAATACCAGCAGCTGTGGATAAAATACGAGGGCCAGATTTCATCTATAACGACCAAAATAACTGATAATATTATAAATCTGAAATTTGTCTCTGCTTATTTATGTCTCATTTTCTGCTTTTTTATTGTCTTTTAGTCGAGTTAAAATTTAGACGTTGGAATATTTGACATAAATAAGGTGACTTTAAGAGGAATTAGAAATAATTTGTGGTTGTAAAATTACAGATTTTAATAAATTATCTTTTAAAATGAAGTATTTTTTATATTTGTTTTTGTGTTTCAGATGAATCCATCACACTGTTAATGAAAAACTAGAGTTTATGTGTAATTTCAGTGACCCGAGGTTTGCTCAGAACCACAGAATCAGAACCAGCTGTGGACAACAGTGCCGTTCAGTGGCACAAAGGAGAAATGATAAATGAGCACACAGATGTTCCGGTTCACACATCTACAGGAAACAGCTTTTAAGCACATTTCAACCAAGTCTCTTCATAATTAAGTTCGATTTTACAAATGATAAAAACATAAATTCACCATTTTAGTTGAGAAATTTCAAGTTTTAAACATTTTCAGCTACATTAACGCAAATAAATGAACTCAAAAGCCTCAACACAAGACAAATAACTGGATGAAATAAGATCTTAAGAACAAAGTGATGTTTAACCTTTTTTGAGAGTTCATAAGTTATTCTTAATAATTAAAAATGCACTAAAAGTCTTGTATTTGTTTAGGTTATTAAGCTAATATAATACTTTGTTTAAAAGTGTTGGCTTAATTTTATCACTTATTTTTAAAGTTTTTTTTAATCATTATTATATTAGCTAATATTAGTTAATTAAAAAAACAAGGTCAGGTAGTGAAACAGGGATGACCTAAAGCAGGTTTGGGTTTAATCAGGTTTTTGGATCATTTTTTATATTTCTGCACAATTATTTTTGGCACCTGGTTGGAAAACAAAGCCACAAACCTACGAAAACAACTTCATTTTTTAAAATTATTTTTTGTAGAAGTTGTTTTTTGTGGTAAAGCTGTAAAGTTTGTTAATTGTTCACCATACTCTGCAAACTGATGGGCTTGGATGGCCTGAGACTCATAAATGAGTATTTGTCTCTCTCTGCTGGATGCTGAAGATAAAACACATTTTACTTTTTATTTTGTCTAACAGAATTTAAACTAACTTACAAAAATGTGTGAACCATGAATACAATATATTGAATCAAACATAGAAAATAGGCTGCAGCCCTTCTGTTCTTCTTTATACATAGTATAGAGCTCATCTGGTGACACTGGATTAAAAATATGCATCATCACCATTTATTATCCTGTGGTGACGAGATAATAACTAGTGGCCATGAGATAATTATTTCAGTCATTTAATTTTCATTTTAAATTGATATAGGAATTAATGATACTTCGGTCAGATGGTTGGACATGAAGTAATTTTTCCTGCCTGTTCGAGTCAATGAGTTCTTATCAAGTTATCTCCTGTCTGTGTTATTTACCTCATGGCTACAAGTTATTATCTCGTGGTCATATGTTATCTCATGGCCACAAGTTATTATCTTGTGTCCATGTATTATTCATCTCATGGCCATAAATTATCTTGTGGTCATGCATTATTTACCTAGTGGCCAGAATTTATCTCATGGTCATTTGGCCAGGTCATGTTTGTAAATGAGAAATGGTTCTCAAACAGTTTACCTGGATAAATAAAGTTTAAACAAACAAACAAACAAATAAAAATTAATAAATAAATAATTAAATAAATAAATAAATAAATATCTCATGGCCAGAATTTATCTCGTGGTCATGCGTTATTTATCTCATGACCAGAAGTTATTATCTCGTGTCCATGCGTTATTTATTTCATGGTCACAAGTTATTATCTTGTGGTCACGCATTATTTTTCTCATGGCCATGCATTAATTTTTTATCCAATGTCACCAGACGGACTCCATACTTAAGAGCTTTAGGGAGCTGAAACTTATAGTCATTTAAATTTGATGTTTATATTTTGAGTTGAAATAGATTTAAGAGCTTTACCAGTTACTGGTGGACAGAATTTTATATATATACATATATAAAATATACATATACACACATATACATGTGTGTGTGTGTGTGTACATATACATACATAAAATGTACAGTGTTTAGCTGCTGTTTATTCAATGATGTGTTAAAATGACTGTTGTGTAACAGGTCTCTAGGATTACGTAGAAATGTTATGTACCTGGTAGATTTTTCACCTCAGTGATCCTAGGCTGAACAGTTTATTAAATTCTGCAAACTCAAGCAAACAATTAGCTCTGCACGCATTTTTTTACCCGGACAGCTTTTAGCAAATGGAGAAAATAAATGTAACAATGGAGATTTCCTAATCCAGCACATTTGCTGATTCTCTCCCTGGTGCAATTTTAAAAACAAAATCCTGTTTAATAGTCATTAGTAAGCTTTTTTTCCCCTCTCTTCCCCATTGGACCGAGAAAGTATATTTACCACTTTCCTCAGCCTCTGTGTCTCTGTCTATCTCTTCTCTTCTCTCTGCTGATACCTTTTTTTAAAGAGGAATGGAACCCACCTACGGTTGTCTAGTCTTAATCTCCATGGTGACCTAATCCTCAACAATCCCAGAACAGTGGTGTTCCAGTTGAGACCCATTGAGTTACACCAGACTGTCATCACTGATCACTGTGATAGTGTTGCTTCAGTTTCATTGGAGCGAGCAAGCTTTGATCTGCATCTGATGATGATTACGTGTTTGGGAAAGGGTGAGCGTTGGTTTGGATTTCTTATTTCGTAGGAAATCCCTTTACACAGACGGCTTGCATTCATTTAGGTGTTATAGAATCAAAGGCTGTGTTGGTGAGTGTCTCTGTAGGTCTGGCTGAAAGTAATGAATCCATCGGTGCTGCTGGCATGAGCGGGGCCACGCTATTAACCTCTCTGGCAGCTAGACGGATCTCACCCTGTCTGTCTGTCTCATTGGCCTGATGACACACTCTCACATTCTGTGCTCAGTACTCACACATTCGCAGACACGCACACACTCAAACCTGTCCTTTCTAATCAAATTTCCACTGAAGTGAAAAGTATTCAACACTGTCCAATCATTTCTATTGAGAGTCAAAAAGCTTCCACCAGCTTGGAGAGAATATTTCTTTTCTTACCACCCACTCAAACGAAGGTACCCTTCAAAACTGTTTCACATGTGCTAATCTCCACTAGTCTTCTGCAACCAGATCAGATTTCAATATTCTGCACCAGCCTCGAGTTTCATCATGCCTTTTATGTCAGGGGTTTTCTCTCTTATAACCATCACAGTAAAGCCTTTAGCTTTGGCTGCGCGCTCTTATCTGACAAGGCAGTCGTGTCGTAGTTACGTCATGTCAGAGGCCTTCATAACACCGTCAGTTCAGAAATAAATCACACCGAGTTTGAGACTTTTACTTAGCCAAGGGAAGATTTAAGGCAACATCTAAAAGTTAAGGACTCGGGGCAGAAGCAGGAAGTGGATGACAAGCTTAACAAATGCCCCAAATTACAGCTTGGATGGCCATTTAATGAGTTTGTGGCACGGCTGTCCCCTGAATAAAAGAACAACATGACATGATGGGGGAGAAATATGACATTAAAAGTGCTGGCAGTGGTCGTAAATGTTGTTTTATAATCTGGACTTGGCTTTGTGTGCGTGTCTGTAAATATGAAAACTCAGCCCGTGCTGGAAATTCTTACAGCAGTGAGAAGCACCTGGCGCTGTCTGTAGTCATAACAAATGACAAGAAGGGATTAAGACTACATTTGTGTTTGTGCCAGCTTGTTACACGCACTCCCAATTTGCATTCTGCTTTAGAACCACCATGTAATGCAGCATTGCTGCTTGGCTTCACCCCCGTGAGTTCGATTTTTTTCATATACTGTATATATATATATTTTTTAACCGTGCTCCTCTGAAATGCTACGACTCGTGCATCCCTCGTTAAGGTTACGGCCTGGGACGGCCTGCAGTGATATCCAGCTCTGCTTATCCCATCTGTGAGCTGACCCAGTCAGAGATAATGTGGAGAAGTGGATGCATTTGGCAAACCCGAGGACATTAAGTTAGAGGTGTCTGCAGTGACAATTCATTAGGCAGAGGATTGCTGGGAGACAGGTGTTAGCATGCTCTTAGCTTTATTAGGAACCTGTTGCCGAGGGACAGTCTGACATTTTGGAAAATACAGTATTTCAGGCAGAGATTTTTGTAGGTGAGCGAGGAATATTTTTGATTTTATTTTCATGCCTGGAGCAGTCCTCCATCGGACCAGAAACTCAAGGTTTTATGAGACTCTTTACGACCACATGCTGTGACACCGTACTTATTGTTTTTCTATCTGTTTTGCTTTCCATTAAAACTAAAGCTACAATCTGAGCTGAGGTGTAATATCTCTGCCCCAATTAATGTGCGATTGCTTCAACAGGTGGCGCCGTATGGCCAGCAGCCAATGGGGAGCTTTAGCCAGCAGCAGCAGCAGCAGCAGGGGGGGCAACAGGGAACCCCTCCGTACTTCAGCTCCCCTCAGCAGACCCCCACAGGCCCATCACAGAGTTCCTACCTGCAGCCTCGACCACCACCGCAACAGGTAATACAGCACACATAAACAGTCTCTGTTTCTATTGTACCAAATCAAGGCAACAAATATAACTTAGCATTACATTTTAGACACATTTGTCTCCACTTGATGTTTACAGACGGGTCAGTTTAAGTGCACACAGACACACACATAATGAAAACATTCAAGCGTCCATCAGAAGAAACTTCTATTCTCCCAACAACAAAGGATCTGGACTGCAGATACGGTTGGAGACTCGTGTTGCCAAGTTTTTGCCCGCTGTTCTGTGAAGCATTTCCATGGTGGATGTGAGATCCAGGCAGTTGTTTTTGCAGAGTTGAGTGAAAGCTGCCCATGTGTTTCCCATCCACTCTGCAACCAGAGGGATTTATCAGCCCATGTGGAGTGACTCTGGCCCAAAGCCCTGCGCTGGATCAATACTGAACAGAACAATATGGAGCAGGGGAAAGAAAAGGACAAGATGGGGGGAAGATTGTAGTAAAACTTGACTGGAGAAAAATAAATGGGATAGAACAGAAGAAAGCAGAAGATGGAGTGATTATTACCACAACTGGTGAGATGGGTAACATTCTTTTAAGTCTGCAGGCAGAGAGGGGCTCGTGGCTGATAAAAGCTGGTTTAGGTTGATCAATATTGATTATATAAGTCAATGTCTAAATGCGTTTCGTACAAATACAATGTGGTGTAAATCATAGGAGTGACGTGTCACAGTTCTGACTTCATGAAGTTAATAACATGAATGTTCAAATCTGTTTATTTATTCCCCTACTTTAGCAATTTAAAGTGATTATTCATGTGTGTGACTGATTATTCTAGTTTACAAACAAAAGAATTAGCATTAATAGTGAGCAAGACTCTCAAATGATGAAATTTAAAAAAATCATTTGTAAATAAATGACCGTTTTGATTTAATTTAATTTTTTAAAATATCAACTTTCTGAGGCTTCCCCTTTCAAAAAGCGGATTTGTGTGTAACTTGTAAGTTGTTCTGCGTAGTCAGGCCCCGAGGGATGCAGCACAACAAACCTTGGCTGAGGAACACACACCAAAGAGTGGATTAGATGAGTACTGGTTCCAGGAAATGTGTTGTCTAAATGCTGCACATAATCAGCTGATGGAAACTAATCATCTTATGCCTCTGACATCTTTTTATTGCTGCCTTTTATTTGTATTTTTTAAAGGGATCCACGATTAGTTGTAACATTAGACTTTATTTGATAAACATATATTTTAACTGTAAAATAAAGACTGTAAAAATACTGTAGGCTGTTGACTATTGACTATTTTAAATGAAACCAGAGAGCGTTGACCGAGAGGAGAAGGTAAAAATGACTCAGCCTGTAACTGAAAATATGGATGGAGGACAACAGAGCTGCTTCATGGAAGAAGAACCTCAGCTTAGCCTGTTAGCTTTAGCGTTAGCCCCGATGCTATCATCATATGTATTAGCTCAGCGCTACACATTCTCCTCTCGTCACTGAGGTCCTCCACCCACATGACAGAGAGGGGAATGCAAAAATGACTCAGCCTGCAACTGAAAATATGGATGGAGGACCTCAGTTTAGCTTGTTTGTTTGTTGCGCTAGCGCCGAGCTAATGAATATAAGGCAATATAGCGTCGGTGCTACCGCAAAGTCCAACAGGCTAGGCTGAGGTTCTTCTTCCATGAAGCAGCTCTGTTGTCCTCCATGTATATTTTCAGTTCCAGGCTGAGTCATTTCTACCTTCTCCTCTCTGTCAACGCTCTCTGGTTTCATTTAAAAGAGTCGATCATCAGATATTGTCCAAGATTAACCTTCAGGGTGGATATAGCTCGCTCACACCAAAGCCTATCCACGTCATCATTTACCCAGAATGCTTTGCATGTAAATAAAATGGCTCGGTCCGTGTTAAAATATATTTTTAAAAATTTACTAAACTAAATGGCTTACAGTGTTTTTACAGTCTTTATTTTACAGTTAAAATATATGTTTATCAAATAAAGTCTAATGTTACAACTAATCATGGATCCTTTTAATATAAGCAGGTTATTGGCTATGAGAGGCTACATTGATACACAGTAAGCTGCGTATTCTGTAAAAAGAGCTGTTCTTAACATTTTCAGGTAATTGGACTGCTAATCTGGTGGTGACTGATGAGCTGTTTGGACACAGAGCAGTGTAGTGCATCATGTACTAGATTACCAAGACTTTTAAAGGAGACATATCACACTTTTAAATCCTTCTTTTTCACACTGAAATCATTCAGTTGGGGTCTATATAAAATGCAATGCTTTGGTCTGAATTTCTCCTTATCAACCTCCGCAAGCCTTTTGGTGCTCTAGTACAGGGCTATTCAACTGGTGGTGACCAAAATGCGGCCCACCAATTCGTTCATTCATCTCTCAAGCCTAAACCCCCAGTTTTCTACTTTAATTACTGTAAGTTCTTTTCACTAGATATAAACATGCTTGGTATCTACAGAAACATCAGAATCTTGGCCCCTCGCTGTTAAAAAAACATTTCTATGAATATCTAAGACAGTTAAAACTACAAGCAGTTGAAGATAAAACTATGAAAGTGAAAGTAAAATTTGTTAAAAAATTTGGCAACTCAGAGATGTCAAAATATTTGTGTAAAATAGGAGGAATATGTTTTTATATTATTTTATTATCACTACTTTTATTACAAATGGTTTTCTATGTTGTATCCATGATTAAATGCAGCAAAATATTCTAATTCTAAGGTAACAGATCTTTATAATACTTGGTTTATTTACATGACTTTAATTGCTGAATGTTTGGCCCCTGTGCTGCTGTTCGTCATTAACTGTGGCCCCCGGAGCAATTTAATTGAATAGCTCTTGTAGTTGGTAAGTCCAGACCTTATTTGGCAGTTTTGTCACAAATAATTTGATGTTATAGTTCAGAAAACTGAACAGGTTGAAAAATATAATCCAAACAGAAGATAACGATGGCTCTGCAGCACCGGGTGAAACTAAATTCAAATTTTGTGCACTCCTAGAGACTCCAAGTACACAACAAAATGCATTTAATGGCATTTTATGTATTTTGCATATTTTCCCTTTTAATATAAATGTACAAACCTGAGTAAATGATCAAAATCTAAACTGTTAAATTTATTTGAATTGTTTATATTTAGGTTACAGTTACTTATATATTTGAATCCTTATCATTAACTTGTAATTGATGGTTTGTGCAAGTCATTGTATTGATTGTGCATAAACACAATGCTTGGCTAGACTTACATAAAACTGATGAATCAGTTAAAGAAAGAAATTCTTCTCTAGATATTTAAAAGCCCAGTTTGCTTTTCCCTCACATTCAAGAGCAGAATATTTTAGCGTTGATAATATCTTCAAAGTCTTTTTTGGTTCAAACATCAAATAGGTGTCTCACAAACGTGTGCAGACTTATTTCAAATCTGCACAAGTTGATGCCATTTAGCACTGGTGGAGGGATGTTGTCAAAGCAGTTGTACTGTGATTTACTGAAACACAGTTAAACGCTCTCTTAAACAGAGTGAAATATTCAGCACACTAAAACAAATAGCCGAGCTAAAACCCATTGTGAGCACAAAAGCAGGTTGTCAAAGATGGAAATCGTCTGTCTTGGCACAGTAATTTATATATTGTGTCAGCCAAGTTGCTTTATTTTTCTCCGAAAAAGCACTTACTTTTGTTCCCGCACCTAGCACGCTCACACATGCAGACTGTTCAGCCTACTGAGCAAACATTATTCATTCCAACTAGGAGAGGCTGAGATCCATGGCCACATTGACATTTTGTGACAGTAATGGTGTGTTTTCATCATTGCTGATGATGTGGCGGCAATTGACCCATGCTGACATTTATATACCAGGTACTTCTTAACCGTGCGTTCTGATTGGTCGGAGCCTTGTTTCACCTGTGCTGATAGGTCCCAGATTGGTTCCCATGCCAACCTCGGTGTCGACCAAGGAGCTGGCTTCACATTATTTCTCATTATAATGTATGCACAGTGCTTTAAAGGAAAATGTTTCAATCAGCGCTCACGCTTGTTAAAGCTGCATAAAAGCCTCGGCAGCCACTGCATCAATGTTGCAACCTGCTGTCTTTACCTATAATCAAGAAATCCTTCCTACAGTTGCTTTTAAAGCTATACTGCATTTTAAGCCCCGGCAGCTCAGCGGGAATCATGTGAACTCCCCCTGTTTTCTGTCTGTTCACCATCACAGTGCAGAGCCGATGTATTCTGTCGTTTTCATCAGCTAATCAGCTTCTAGCTCTTTTTTACTGTTGCTTATATATATA